ACACACCACACACACACACACACACACACACACACACACACACACACACACACACACACATACATACATACATAACAGGGTGAAGTGTGTCTTGGTGTAATGGTCGGGTTTAGCAGCGGGTGGGGAAAGTGAGCGCTCCCTCTGTGATGGAAATCTATTTTCAGCCTCCCCAGCACCACCTTCAGGCTGCAGTTTAACCTCTGAGTCTCCAGGCAGAGCTCACTGAGCTCCACCTCAAGTCAACCTTCACACCAGGAATCATTTATCTGCATCTCACTGCCGCCATTTAGTGATGTGAATGCATAACTAGAACATTATATTGTTCCTTTAGGACGACATGTGCAAAGCAGTTGAGCATTTTACTGAAAAAAACACACACCTGGAGGGATCACATTATATACAGATCTAACAAGACTAGGTTGAAACCTATGTGACTGGAGTGGATTGTATGACATATATTTAATAAGTATATGAGTGTGTTCAAATGCATATTAGTATCCTGGTTTGGAGTGTTTACATGATACATATCTCCTCTCTATGTTTGCATGTTTAAATAGTTATTACATTTTCTATGTCTCTATAACTCTTTTTGCAGATGTGTCTTGATTTCTCACCTTGCTAAACATTTGGATAGGATCACATTTTTGAATTCAGCGCCTAGGGCCATATTCACAATTGAAATAGCCTCTTAAAAGCCCTTCTTCCTAGTGTGTGTGGTGTGGTGTGTGTGTGTGTGTGTGTGTGTGTGTGTGTGTGTGTGTGTGTGTGTGTGTGTGTGTGTGTGTGTGTGTGTGTGGTGTCCTACCTCGCTGCAGGAGGAAGGGTTTGGTGTAATCCCAGCTGCTGTTGTCGTTGCGGACGACGTTCAGTCTGTTGGGCTGCAGGGGGCGACAGAGCACAGCACCTCTGGGTGGGTGTGTGTGCGTGGGCTTGAGACTGAGGCTGTGTATGTGTGCATGCACCTGAGTGTGTGTTTGTCCGGAGCCCTGTGTGTGTATGTGTGTGTGTGTGTGTTTACCCGAGCGTACTCGATCTTGAGCGTGCAGCAGCCGGCGTAGATGTCGGCACCGTTCAGAGCCAGTTTGGCCTTCTGAGCGTCCTCCACTGACTCAAATGTTAACGAGCTTGTTAAGGGTGACTCATCATTATAAACATCAAACAGCCAATCAGAGGAGAGAAACACGACCTCCACTGTCCTCAAAAGGTCTACTGTCAGCTTCAGTAGATCTAAATCTTAAATGACTTTAAATGCGCACATCATCATATTCTATCTACTGCATTAACAGTGAAGATAAATATGCTATTAATCTCTTAAAGGGGCCCTATTATGCAAATGTTCACATCCATATTTGTATTTTGTGTCTCTACTGTGACATGTCTCCATGCTTTAATGTTCAAAAAGCCCAGAGACCAGTCTGCTCTGGTTGGTTAGCTGGCCGGCTCTGTTGTGATGGGTCAACCTGCTTAGAGATGTCCCGCCCCTTAGCCTATCACGTACAATGTGTTGGAGCGCTAGCCAATAGAAGCGCGAGTGTTACATAGTGATGTCACTATGTAAACAAAGGAGTCCAATGGAGGCGTTTCAGGCAGGGGGGAGTGTGAGGGAGAGAAACTCCCTCCAACTTTTGCAGACTACTTAGCACAAAAACCTTTATGACACCATGAAAGGGAAAACCAAAAAAGGCTCAACAGGGCCCCTTTAACTGCAGCTTCAATTGAATTACCGGTAAACTGTATTTCATGGGTGAAATGGAACTAAGTATATTTTATAAAGTACAATAAATAAATAATGATGCATAAGGATATTCCACCATGGCCTGGATGCCGTTGCGTTTGAAGATGACGATGCGCAGGACGTTAACGATCGGGTTACAGACGGTGTACAGGACATCCTGAGAGAAAAATATAAATTAAATAAGAACAGTATGAATAAAAAAAACAACAATAAGATATGGTAAGACACAGAGTATACACAGATATGAGTAAAGATAATAATCGATTAAATATATGTACATGTCCAAGTGCAAGTCTTAACCACATTATCATGCATCATAAGTATATTCATGACACTTAAATAATGTCCTGCTTATATCGTGTTAACAGAAAATTGGCCCCTTCAATAGTGATTTTAATTTGTCAGGCAGTTTATAGATTTTGTTATCTTCACGGTCATCTGTGTTTTTTCTTACTCTATGCTGGTTTATTTCTATTTCTATTTTGAGATGTTTAGATAGAATTGTTTATTTCTACTCTTTTAATTTGTTATTATGTGCAATGCCTTGTTTTGTGTTATGCTGCAGCAACAACATTTCCACATTTCAACTCATCTTGTCTTTATATAGTGCATTATACTGTAGGTAAGATACGGGTGTCATAGATGGATGGGGGGGGATTTTGAAATGAAAGTAGAGATAATTCAACTCAATAAAGCTCTGGTTATGGAGGCTCAGCTGATGTAGCTTTAGTCAAACAGGAAAAGGAAGTTATGGTGCTGATGGAGGTTCAGCTGGACTCAGGGTGCTGATGGAGGAGGTTCAGCTGGACTCAGGGTGCTGATGGAGGGGTTTCAGCTGGACTCAGGGTGCTGATGGAGGAGGTTCAGCTGGACTCAGGGTGCTGATGGAGGTTCAGCTGGACTCAGGGTGCTGATGGAGGAGTTTCAGCTGGACTCAGGGTGCTGATGGAGGAGGTTCAGCTGGACTCAGGGTGCTGATGGAGGTTCAGCTGGACTCAGGGTGCTGATGGAGGGGTTTCAGCTGGACTCAGGGTGCTGATGGAGGTTCAGCTGGACTCAGGGTGCTGATGGAGGAGTTTCAGCTGGACTCAGGGTGCTGATGGAGGAGTTTCAGCTGGACTCAGGGTGCTGATGGAGGGGTTTCAGCTGGACTCAGGGTGCTGATGGAGGGGTTTCAGCTGGACTCAGGGTGCTGATGGAGGGGTTTCAGCTGGACTCAGGGTGCTGATGGAGGAGGTTCAGCTGGACTCAGGGTGCTGATGGAGTTTCAGCTGGACTCAGGGTGCTGATGGAGGTTCAGCTGGACTCAGGGTGCTGATGGAGGAGTTTCAGCTGGACTCAGGGTGCTGATGGAGGAGGTTCAGCTGGACTCAGGGTGGTGATGGAGGAGGTTCAGCTGGACTCAGGGTGGTGATGGAGGAGTTTCAGCTGGACTCAGGGTGCTGATGGAGTTTCAGCTGGACTCAGGGTGGTGATGGAGGAGTTTCAGCTGGACTCAGGGTGCTGATGGAGGAGTTTCAGCTGGACTCAGGGTGCTGATGGAGTTTCAGCTGGACTCAGGGTGGTGATGGAGGAGGTTCAGCTGATATACGGTTGTAGGAGCCAAAATGCTGTGGTAGCCTGGTGTTTATAGTTATATTATCTTCATGATTTGTTAACACCACACACACTTGTAATGGGTTGTTTCCGGTGATGGTCACATGGTGTGGTTAATGCTTAATGGTATTTAGGGCACCTGGTGTATGTGGAGGTTTAGTAGCATGACAATGGGGCTGAGCTTAGTTCTGATATATTTTGTTGACCGTATGATTCAGTTTGTTTATTGTTTTGATTTACTATATTAAATATCCTGAAACCATCAAGTACAGTGCAGACTTTATTATTTATACGCGTCACAATAATGAGCGAAGTTTAGCCTCAGAGCGGCCGTATTCAATGGGAATATAGCCGCCACAACGGTAGTTCAGGTCAATTAGGAAAAGGAGGTTGTGGACTCACGGTGATAGAGGTTCAGCTGATATACAGTAGTTGTGGTAAATAAGGAACAGGAGGTTCTGGACTCACGGTGGTGACGGGGTACAGCGGGTTCTGGACGGACAGCAGCAGGACTTTGTTCCCGCTGCTGGGGTCGTCTATGTTGGTGGGTCTGGTGATCCTCTGGCTGGTGGAGAAGTTGAAGAAGGCCTGCTGCTCGGCGATGCAAACCGCGTCACGATTTCCACTCGACACGCAGCGCTCGGCACTCTCCACACTGTCGAACTCCACCAGGGCCTGGCGCTTAAACGGCATCATCATCACGTAACTAAAACCAGAGAAAAAGAGGTACTAAATCAAGGTTGAGGTTTTTTCTGGGTCCTGCTGCCTTTTATTAAATCAAATAAGTATCTAACACTGCATTGTAACTTTTGTGTGCGTTTTATACCTGTCTTAATTTATTCAAGCTTGTATTTGTTTTCATTCTCTTGGCTTTTTATTGACTTCAATTAAAGTGCACCAATCATGCTATTTTTAGGCAATCGCATAGGTCTCAGATATATAAACATATATAAAAAACATGTCTATGAAGTGTTTTGCTCAAAATACCAAACAGATCACCCATTCTAGCCATGCCTCATATCCCTCTGTTTCACTTCCTGTTTCAAAAGTGCTGATTTTGGGTATAACGCTGTAAAAGACATCAAAAAGTGCATTTTGCATGATAGGTCCCCTTTAAGTCATATTGTGTCTTTGTAATCCTATGTCCGATTGTTTTTTTGTAAAGCAGTTTGAATTGTTGTTTTTGTGTTTTCTCCAATGTGGTGGTGTGTAAATAAACTTTACTTGCCATTCTTTGTGTAAGTGCAAGCTCCAGGTTAAAGCTGCTGTTTTTTGTTTTAGAGCTCTATGGAAAGTAGGTATATTATTTAAAAAGATTAGACGCTAAAAATACAAGTTTTACAAGATGTATCGAAGAGTCCAATATTGTTGACTGTCAATTCCTTTGTATATATTTTCAAAAAGGTTGAACAATGATCAGAAGTTACCAAAATAAAAAGGAAAATTATTTTTAATATCAACCAAATTTCTGAATAAAAACTGCTTAACTGCTAAAAGAGATGCCAGTCATATTTACATACTGGCTCTGTATTCTGAGAGCTTTTTAAATCCCCCAGCTCACAGGAAAATGCTGCCTCTTCAAAATAAATGTGGCTAGCTTTTACATAATCCTCCTCACTCTGGCTTCCTCATTTATGGCTGTGTGCTTCGGTTGATTCATGATGGTTAGTATTATCAGTCACTTTGAACGCCTCAGCTCTTTTGATCTGTTCAAAACGGCGTTAAATTATTCTTATGATAATGATGCTATGATCGCAACAAGAAGTGGCAATGCTGGAAAAAAAGACTTTATTTATTTTGTGAGGTTTTGACTGCAGAGAGAGCATTACAACCTGATGATCTGCAGGTTAAGCAGCAGAGGTTTGTTGTGTGATGAATGAGTGCAAATCATGTTGTTCTGATGGACAGCAAACCACATCAGACTGCACCTCAATATCCGGCTAATATGTGTAAATAATTCAACACCTCAGCCATTTAATGTGTGTGAGCAGCCGGCTACAGACAGTAATAGTCGATTCAGTAATTAAAACAGAGTCTGTTGGTGAAGTCTAGACTTAATCAAACATGTTACACATCTTATGAGTGTGTGTGAGAATTTGTGAGACTGTTCAAGGTTAATTACAAATACTAGACATTGCATTGTATGTAGTGAGTATTTTTAAGTACACTGAAAAAACGGAAACATTGACTTGACAAATTTCACACAACTGTATTAGGTTAGTTGAAAGCAATACTATTAAGTTGAACCTAATATTGTATTATTTAAACTTAAAATTATTGCTTTCAACTAACCTAATACAGATGTGAAATCTGTTCACATGACACATTTAATTAAAGTCAACATTTCCGTTTTTCCAGCGTACTTAAAAATACTCATTACATAAAATGCTATGTCTAGTATTCTTATTTAACCTTGGAAAAACATTTAATGAAAGTCTAATAAGTGTAATAAGTTACCAGATGTTGCCAAACTTGTCGAGTGCCTCCACCAGGTCGGCCTCCACCACGGCGTCACAGAGCCCTCGGACGTGGACCACCGGGGAGGGGGGGATACAGTGAGTGTCGTCCACGCCGCTCTGCAGAGGAATGGCAAATAATGTAAATACAATGTAAATAATAACACATACTTTGTTGAGGTTGCTTGATCACGGCAGGGCGATAGTTTAATATAAAGTACTGTACTCGGTTTCTAACATATTTATATTTTGTGTAAATGCTGTCTTTATTTGTAATTTGCTATAATTTTCGTAAAAATAGTTGTTAAATAGTAAAACAACAACATATTCTTCTTTCTGTGCCTTTGAATGCACCATTTAAAGTGCCCATGTCATGCTTTTCCGGTTATTACCCGTCCCCTTGTGTGTTATGAAGGTTTTTCTGCATGTAAACGGTCTGCAGTCACAAACCCTCAAAGTACACCCTGTAGCGAGTAAAACTCTACAAGAAAAGACCTGTCTATGCTGCCCCAGAACACCTCGTTGGAGATTTTTCTTTTTCCATTGTATGCTTCCTGGGTTCTGTGACGTGTGAACACCCAAATCAACAACAAATGACCGGATTGGCCCAAATGGACCAATGCACGGAGCACCTCACACACCGGGATCCCTTGGCTAACTAACAGGGCGTCCCATTGACTTGCATAGAGCTCCCTGAACGCTGGTAATAGACGAGTTGGGATAGCGGGGAAATTCTCTCCGTAGACCCATTCTCACAGCGTTAGAAACCTTTTTCTTACTCAATATCAAGCCACACTTATTGTTTTTACTTCGAGTGTTTGTGTGTGCTCAGGATGAGTTTCGCTTGTTCTCGCTGTATCGCCGACCCGGAAACCTGTCCGCTCCCCCGCCAGCAGCTCACAGCAGCAACAAGCCCTCGCAACGTCTCCCGACCAATCAGAGCACACTGGGCTCACAGGGGGGGGGGGGGGGGGGGGGGGGGGGGGGGGGGCAGGAGCTCCAACAAGCCGTGTAGGACAGAGAGTGAATACACATACTATACAGCAGCGACGTGCAGTCAGGGGAGGCAGTCACTCCTCACCTGTCATACTCCAATGTAACGGAAAAACAACTAAAGAAAAACTAAATATTAATAATAATAAAATGTCTCCACTGATATGTGTTTTGTAAATGTGATTTATGTATGATTCCAATCGCTTTTTATAGTCAAAATCAGCAATTGGCCGAGCTCCGCTACAACTACATGGGAGCGATGAGGAGTGAGGCAGGGACGAGCTCTGCCTCTCGTGAGCCCACAGTAACTTGCTGGAGCGCGGGCAATAATGTAGCGTGGGCACTTATGTTGTGAGCGCGCTCAAGCCAGTTACTGTGGGGTAAGGTGAGGCACAGATGAGATCTGCCTCACCTCAGAATGCGTCACCCCACATAAACTGGCTGGAAAGCGGGCCCTAAGCGCATGCCTGCACCATCTCACTGTATGTCACCAATGTAATGTTTGTAGATCCCTTTATTACATTTATCCTCGCCATCCATAGTCTCTAAATAACTTATTTCACGTATATGATATTTAGGCTCGCTGGTCTCATCATACAACGGCAATGAAAAAAGCACCAGGAGAGGCAGCCATAACCTCTGCCGCACTGAAGGAGGCGCACGTGAGCCCACAGGTTCTTGTTGCTACAGTTATTCTACCCAGACGCGAACAACAAACTAGACTTTTGAAACTACAGGAAGATAAGGAGGACTTTTACAAAAAAGTAATAGAGATTGTTGTCCAGAAGGAAAGCATGGACTTCATCTTCAAGTCAAGGTAAGACCACAATTGTAATGAACATGGGATCTTACTAAGAAAGAACAATCCAATATTTAGATTTTGGGTATCCTTTTGTTGAACAGTCTGTTTAAAATGAATCGAAGCATCAGACTAAAAAAGCTTTTGAAAATAACCGAACATTTCGATTAAGATCAAAATATAATATTTGTAAATCTGACTCTGAAAGAGTCAGTGCCTCACCAGCCATGAACCTCACCGCACGTCACTGCTATACAGAGATGCTGTATGAGAAACCAATGTGAGTTTGGAAAATTGCACAATATAAATCTATTTTAGTAGACCTCAACAATGGAATTATGATCAGTAGAAATGGCCATGACATGGGAACTTTAAGACAAAGCAAATTCCTCATATGTGTAAACCTTCTTGATCGAAACGATTCTGATTTATCGTCTTTTAATAGAATTGTATTATAAAATCCTAAGTTATCACGAGACACAATTGTGTTGCTTAAATGGATAATGACATCACAAAATAAATTGAATTTTTCAGTAAATCTGATTAAATTTTCTGATGGAATATAATTTGAAGGATTAAGGTTTCGTTTTTTAAATCATCGCACTTCATATTACACTTCAATGTGATCAACGAATGGCTGATTTTATTTGAGGTCCATGGCGTAGAACAGGGGTGGGGAACCTCCGGCCCCCGGGCCGTATACGGCCCGCGAGACCATTTGGTACGGCCCTCGAGGTAATTTATAAACACACGCAAAAAAGAAAAAAATGTAAGAAATCTAGACCGCAAAAGAATTAAACAAGCGAGTGCCTGTTTTTCCTGGCCAAGGTCAGGGTCCTTGAACACAACACGAGCCTAACGTGTCATCACGTGGTATATGTCTCGTCTGACAGGGGTGTAGTTCTGCCGGAGAGCACCAGAACGCCGCTCCGGCACTTCAGAAATGGCAGAACCCATAAGGAGCCGTACACATGCTGCAGTTTTTGCGTGGCTGTGTCTTTAGTTGAAAGCCCAGTGTCGATCTGTCATACTGATCATACAGTCAATAACTCTGTTGTTATTAGCATCTGGTTAGCTAGCTATGCTAACGAATATAATAAGCTTTTTCTACAACCAGTGAAGTAAAGGCACATCTTTATATGATCATTATAGTTATAAAAAAATAAGAGAATAAAGTAAACTACTATATAAAATGCTATATGACAGTAAAATCAAAAATAATAATAATACAGTTTGAAAGGGGAGTGATTTGTAAAATATCCATAAAGAAAAATAAATCTGCTTGCAGTTCTGTTTCATCTGGCCTGTTGAGAGATGTATCCATAGATCTCTTAATGTTGCTCTCAAAGTGCACGAGATTGATGCTTTTAACTTCAACATTTAAAAAAAACAACCTTCCGGACCCCCCTAGAGGAGGTTAGGTCCCCCACCACTTAAATCATTTCCACATGGATATGAAACTAAATACATTTGCACACATCTTGTGTCCATATCTTTCTGTTTTGGTGGTCATGCCTACGCGAGTCAGGGTAAGATATCTGGATTAAGAGGTTGCTTTTTCTTTGCACAGCATGAAAGAAAGGCGAAATTAATGGGCTGTGATTTTAGTATTTTTAAGCAGAGGTCAATAATTTGTACGGCCCTCGGAGGATGTTGAAAAAATTGAAATGGCCCTTGAGAGGAAAAAGGTTCCCCACCCCTGGCGTAGAAAGTAATGTTGGTCTACGCTCTAATATGATGAATGTATCAAGTGTCCTGTGTTGTTGTGGGTGTGACTAACAGGGTGTTGCTGTGTCTTTGCAGGAAACTGAAGAACGCACTGAGTTTGGGTGAGAAGGAAAAATCTTGTGTGTTAACCGTTGCTCTCAGGAAGTGCTGCAGATTTTGCAGTCTGAACAGTTTTTCTGCAGCAGGTTCAGACTCTTAGCACCGACGTCAGCAGGAAACACTCTCTGATTGTTGGGGTGTTGACCTCTTCATGAAGACACATGTTTCCTTTCTTTTACTATTTTCATCATGCACAGATGTAGGTGTCTCATGCCTCTTACACTTTGCTAATTGCACTGTACATGGAGCATCTTCCAAAACTCAACAATAACAATCAACACAAACACCATTAATCAGCACCAGAGAAGTGGCTTTTATTGTACATAGTATATCGTTTGCAGTGTAAATAATTCTCCAAATCTGTGTTACACATTTTAAGCAAACCTTGTTCTGACTTGTTACAGGTTTTCTTTTTTTAAATGTATGGGTAATGGACCTCGTTTACACAAAATAAAATGTCTGTAATTTCTGATTTAAAAAAGACCACACATATTGAATGAGCAAGCAGTGTGTGGCTGTATTTCTAAAACATGTATAAATATGGTAAATGTATTATTGTTTCTACTTTAATATTTTGTATATTTGTTTCATATATGCATTGGTTATGTGTGCTTTTATTCATTTAAATTGTATTTAATGTTTCCTTCATTATAGGTTGTCTTATATGTTAATTTGCCTATTCTACTTCTGGACATATCTAAGTTAATGTAAGATTATTATGTACTCTTGCATTTATCTGTACACGTTATTCCTTTCTTTATATATTTTTCATGCATCTTACAAATTGCACTGTAAATGGAGCATCTTCCAAAATCAACCGAACTCAACAATAGCAATGAACACAAACATCACTCAGCAGCTGTCACACCAGAGAAGTGGCAGGTAAAGTAGTAGCTGGGATGTGCTAAAAAATGAAATGTTTTCTGCAGAGTCGACACATGGGAGTCTGTTGACGGCAGCAGCGTGAGAAATGTTTGCATTAACTGACCGCTGTCTCGTGCTATTATCAATCACACTATCTGCAGCCCGTGTGGCTTTTTATTTTGGTCTGCATGGGGCTTTTTCTGTCTGGCTGCAGTGGTGGACTGTGGGTGTTAACCTCAAACTTCAGCAGCTCCCTTCACAGAAAACGTATGAAGTTATACATATCTTTACAGACTGAGGTCCCTTCAGACGAGTGTGCACTCAATGCACCTACGCAGGGCTGCTATAGCAACAGCAAGAGAGCGGCAGGTGGTGGAAACATGCACAGCGTTGAGAAGAAAGAAAAGGTGTTGGAGATGTTCTCATGAGTCAACAGTATAAGCAAAGGTTGAGGCAGTGAGACGGATCAATTCAAAATCCACTTAAAATGTTATCGGCACACAGTAAGGAAGATTTTAGTGTCTGGGCTTTACTTTTGTTAAACGTGATTAAAGTGAGTCATTTAATAAATTACTGTAAAGTTTTCAGCTAGCTAACATGTCATGTAACCAACTTAACCCCAATGACTAAAGCAGTG